GTCAAGCAAACACAATGATCTGGCATTCAATGTGCGAGAATTAATATAAAATGGAAAATATTATCTCTGATAATAAAACAGCTGTGTTACTTCTTCATGGAATTTTAGATTCGGTTGTGGCAGGCCTTGAAGTTGGTCTAGGTATTGTCAAATAAAGCACTTGTCCTGTTCTTTCTTTTTAGAAATTGTTGGAAAGAAAGTTTAAAATTCGTATTTATCTGTGTACATAATATTAATGATTAATATCAATTGTTAATTAGACACTTTCGTATCAATCTTTTATTTTGAAATATATGTTATATCTATTCACTACTCTTGTTAAATATAATCTCGTTTTATTAAATTCTTCTATTTTCTTTTTCAATTTGACACTGCCAACGTCGACGAAAAACGACAGAATAACTGATCGATCATTCTTTTCAAAATTTAGACTATATATTAGCCGACCAAGGATTCTCGCGGGAACACTTCAACTTGACCATTTCAGACGCAGAATACTGGATATTCAGGTATAACTATTCATCGAGATTTATACCTAAAGGTTAAGTCATTGTTGATTGAAATGAAATTAAATGAAAATGAAAAAGGTTAAGTCATATTGAATGATTGAAATGAAATTCTAATGATTAAATTTAATTTTTGACAATAACTGATACGTTCGTACAGTTGGAATGAAATCGGAATATACGATTTCCCAGCGATGATTGATCACATTATCCAACAAACAAAGCAGAAGATCTTTCTGGTAACGCATAAGATACCTCATTCTTTGTGATGGCTAGCGAACGACCAAAGTATCAAGAGATTTATCGCTCTTTCTGCTTTAGCTCCAGCAGTCTTCATGTCTAAAACGGGACCTTCTCTTTTCCGCGTGCTGTGCCTTGCAGTCGATGACAACGTATGATTCAAAATATAGTTTTAATATTACTAATACTACTAATTATTGTTAAAGTTTATTATTAAAGTATTGTTAGTTTTATTGTTAATTGCGAAAATTTTCAATTTTATGATATTATTAATTTCCAAAACAACTAGTTAAACAACTAGTAAAATTACCAATTTTAATATCAGAAACCGTAATGAATCATATTTTTGCTTTTAACCTTTTTACAGTTGATATTGAATTTTTTGAGCATATATCAGTTTAAGCCAATCGGCACATTTCTACGTACGCTTGGGAAAATAATGTGCTGCCAGTGTGTAAAGGCATCTTTGATGTTGCTTTTGACTACGACGGAATTATAAATATTTTAAGTAAAGTAAGCAGAGGCAAATAATAATAGTGCATTATTAATTAATATTTACACGTACTAATTTTCAACCGAATTTGATTTGAATTCATAGAGTATGTTGCTTCTTGTGTCGCAATATGATCCTGCTGGCGCATCTGTTAAACAGTTTGCACATTATAGACAGTCGATTCAATCAGGTTGATACTCAGTAATCAAATATACAAGTGAATAGAATTTTATAAAATTTATCTCACAATGTGTTTCCTTCTTTTACAGGCAAGTTTCGGAAATTTGATTATGGCACTGCCAGTAACATGAAAAAATATGGCCAGGAACAACCTCCTGATTATAATCTCGGTAATGTCTCGATACCAGTGGATTTGTATTATGGCACCAATGATGTAGCTGCTGATGCTCAGGTTTGTATAGCGTTAATTGCGAACCTTCAATTGGTTTCGAACTTTTCGATATTTTCTTTTCTTTCAATGGTCTTACAGGACA